TAGTCACTCACTTCACTCTTCAGATTATATTAGAACCCTGGCCACTGTGTTACTCCCACAGCAATTAAAAGCAAAAAGACTAGTGGAAGGTGAAGCCAAAGGAAGCAACGGGGGTGTCTAGGTGGAAGGACCTCGAGCCCAACGGCTGGACACTTGTGGGGACTTGCTGCTAGTCCCACCTTGAGAGCCAGCTTTGACTGTTGGTGGGTTTGGGGTCATACTGCTGCCTGTGGGAGCTCCCTAAACCATGAGCCTGTGCCCCTTGGGCCCTCCTCCTGACTTCCACAAAGCACTAGGTGCTACCTCGGCACCCCAGTTTGGTTTAAGAGACTTGGGCTGTATGGTTCAGCTGCTCTCCAACACAGCATGGCCCACCTCCTCTCCATTTTACCAGGTCCTACATCCACCAGCCACTTGAACGTCTCATTTCTTAAACACCCCATGTACTTTCAGACCCATCCCCTTCAAACCTGCTATTCACGCTGTCTGCAAGTCTTGCTTATTTTGTTAAAAATTTCATCCTTCAGCCTTTGCACAGTGTTCATATAACTTCACAGTGGCTAGAAGAGCTGCCTCCACCACTACATCCTGCATTTTGCATTGTTATAATTTATACATAATCATAGTATCCTACTGAGGCAGGAACAAAGATATTATTTCATTCAGTATTCTCAACCCCTTGCACATGTAGGTGGTATATACATTTTTGTCAAATGGCTTAATGAATATGGATATATATTTACCACCCTTTTCCCGTCAGCTTCATCAGAACCCAGCCTAGGAGATCCAAGCCAGGTCTGGTCAGTGAACACTACAGAAGAAGAAACTGAGATATCTACATATAGGTGGACATTCCTAGTCACATGTTCATCTCATTCATCACCATTTCCAAAGGAAGTCAGCCCTTGTTGGGTGCATCTCTGGGCATGCTCTCTTTAGTGTTTGATTGGGATTAGCCAATAGGAGGCACTGACAGGAAGGGGCCTCCCTGGTGGTGCAAGGGATTGACTCTCAACACTATGAAGCTATTGGCAGCCACTGTAGCAGGAGTTCAATTCTCAGCCAGGGAGCTACCCACATGGCGCAGCAGACCTCTCCTATCTCATCAGCTGCTCCCCTCAGCAGTGTATTTCAGTAGATCCATCTGTTCTGCTCCCTACTCTATCTCTGGTGAATCCTCACATACACACACCCTGTACCTCTGGCCTACACCCCAGTTCTTATACGCATAAACAAATCTTTAAAAAAAATAACGAAGGCACTGACAGGAGACTGGTGCAGAGAAGAAGGTAGGTCAAGGTATTTCTTTTTTTTTTTTAAGATTGATTTATTTATTTATACAAGCACTGGGTACAGTCAGAGGCCAGGAGGGTGAGAGAATTCACCAGAGCCACAGCGGGGAACAGAACAGGCAGACCGACAAAATACACTGCTAAGGAGAGCAGCGGGCATGGCAGGAGAGGTCTGCGCACCATGTGGGACTCTCGCTGGCGGCTGAGGATCAAACCGGCGCTGCAGAGGCTGTGGGCAGCTTTGCAGCCCAGCACTCAACTGCTGAGCCACCAGGGGAGGCCCGGTCAAGGTATTTCTAACCTACTGTCATTTCACATCTCTGGATGGGAATGTGAGGATGTTCTGTCACTATGGAGCAGCATTGGGACAGAACGCCAAGTACAGTATTAGGGTCTCCAGGTTCCTATGGTGACCTGTGCTGCATCCAGAGTGCTCTCAGGTGTGAAGGTCACCTGACCAGGACGGGTAAACTAAGGCAGAGGCCGCAAAAACTCTTCACCCAAAAATCAAATCTAAGTAACAATGCCCTTTTGATATAATACTTGATATAGTATTAAAGCAGCTCAACAGAATTCTCATTTGATTTGGGATATGTTGCTGATGGAGAAACTTAATCAAGGCTGCTGGACAAGCAAACAATGAAACAGACCAGAGTATGCTGACATCAAGCCTGTGATCTTCCCAGTTTATGAGCTATGCCACTTCTAACTGAGCTAGGCGCCATACTCAGCTTCATCTCTTAAGAGCTGCATGACTTTGGGCAAATAACTCAACTTCTTTGCATGTCAGGTTGCACAAGAAGCCCAGGATTCACAGACTCCATCCTGAAGTGTGTGAGCCCCCCATGGGATGAGAGGACCCCTCCCCCAACACACACCCTTTGACTAAATGGACATGCCACCAGCAGGAAGAGGGGAAACAGTCAGATTTAATATCACCTTTTTTTTTTTAAACAATTTCACACCTGTGAGAATGGCCCATCTTTTTTTTTTTTTTTTTAAGATTTATTTATTTATTTATACAAGCACTGGGTACAGTCAGAAGCGCGGGAGGGTGACAGAATTCACCAGAGCCAGAACGGGGAGCAGAGCAGGCAGAAGGACCGAAGTACACTGCTGAGGGGAGCAGCGGGTAGCAGGAGAGGTCTGCGCGCCATGCGGGACCCTCCTCCGGTAGCCGGGGAGCAGCCGGGGATCGAACCGGCGCCGTAGAGTCTACGGGCAGCTTCGCAACCCAGCGCTCAACCGCTGCGTCACCGGGGAGGCCCTAATATTACCTTTTAAGTAATGAAATTGATCTTTCCTGTGAAGGACTGAATGAAATAATGATGCAGGGGGAAGAAAGATCTACTTCCCACAGTGCCCAACACAATGCGAATGCTACCTAAGTTAGTTCCCTTACCCATTGTTAACACAAGGGTTGTTAAATCAAACTGATCACTAGCACAATTCTGAAACGCAGCCTGTTCCTTCATAGTTGAAGACACTGTTTCCCTCGAGGCAGGTGGGTCTGGCGGGTTGCAGGATGGGTAACAGCAGGCTGCATGGTAGTTATCATCCAGGATGAAGGCAGAAATTCCTGGAAGGGTCCCAGTAGCTCACAACCCAGCTCTGCAGCTAGATCCCCGGGGATTGGGAGTAGGGGGGACAGAAACTGGAGCTAAGAGAGAGCAGAGCTAGTCTGGCCCCCACATAGTGTTCCAGGATGGTCACACTATGATGGTGCAAGTGTGTACCTTGCATGCCCTAAAGAAAGGGAATCTAGCCAGGTCTCTGCTGTAAACACACTCTGAGTCCAAGAAGATAGAAACTCTGGCAGCAATGGTGGGTGGTGATCATGAAAGACAGACCTTGGGCCTCATCCTCTGTATGGTAGGAAGGATGCCCAAAGACATCCAAGTCCTGAAAGGGCTTGGGGAGCTAGGGCAGGAGAACGGCTGCCACAAAGAATGCCCTGCAGCATGGATATCTCCATTGCACAGCCCAGATTCTGTAGACTAATTAAAGAAAAAAAAAAAAAAAGAACTAAAAGAATGAAGGAGGAGGAGGCTGGAGGTGCAGATAACTTTGGGGGTGGGGGACCTTCTGTGTTCAGAGGCAGAAGGCATGAAAATGAATCCTAGTCTTTTGTTTACCAGCTTTGTGACCTCAGGCATGTTACTACAGAAGCCTGTTTCTTCAACTGAAAAATATAAATCATAGTCTTCATGTCGCACGGAGGATTCTTGTCAAAGACAGAATTAATTATAAGCATACTAATGTCTGTGCCACCCACACCAAGAAATGAGGTGTTTATTTTGCTCAAGGCTGTACCCCTAGTGCATGCAAGTTCTGGCTATAGCCGCTGTTCAATAAATGTTCACTGACACCTGGTCAGAAGTTGCCATCACGCCTGCTGGTGCTTTTGAGGACATTTATGGGCACAGTGTCAGGAGGAACTACAGGTCAGAAGATTCTCAGAAGTGGAGACTTCCTGGGGCCGAGCCCCTGTGAAGCTGCTCCTAAGCGGTGAGCCTGAAACAAGGCAAAAGTGTGCCCGATGGGACAAAATCCCAGGGGTCACAGTTGAGGCTCCATCCTTGGATACTGTGCCCCAGCTGTACACACTCAACTCTGCATCTCTCTATATGCCTTAGGCCCTAGGAGAAAGGCACCCAAGACAGCATGATCCCTAGAAGCACTGGGAGGACAAATAGGCATTTACTGAAATGTTGTTCTAATAATAATAGTAATGATAAAAGAGGGGTTAAAATCTATTGACCTCTACTGTCTACACAAAAATATCAACAATATCAAAAATGCAAAAAAATTGATTTTTTGTTTTCTATGACTAATGGCCATCATAAGGCATGTTATTTGAGGGCAAAATTGCTTGTTTGAGATTCTTATTAAAGAATCAGGAAGGCAATAAATATTGCACTTTTCTGGACTGAGTTTTCAGAATCTCAACTATTCAAGGCACCAACTGTGTCCCTCGTTTTGTTTTTTAATGTAAATTAGATTTGGAAAATCTCTTCTTACAGGAAGAACTTTTTGAAAGAGCTATTTATATTCACATAAATTTAGATTCTATACTGAAATAGAATGACACAGAGAAGATTTAACTACATTTCAGCATCTAAATTTGGTGAAACATTCAAAACAATAAATTTTGTCTCAAAAATATTTGTCAAAACAGATAATAACAAGTGTTGGCAAGGATGTGGAAAAATTAGAATCCTCATACTAATGGGAAAATAAAATGGTTCTGCCACTTTGACAGAAGGGCCAGCAGCACTCATTTTTAAAGAAATAAAACCAGGGGCCTCTCTGGTGGCGCAAGGGGTTAAGATGCAACCTATGAAGCAATTCGCAGCCACTGCAGCACAAGTTCGAGCCCCGGCTAGGGAGATACCCACATGGCACAGCAGACCTCTCCTGACTCACTCACTGCTCCCCTCAGAGTGTACTTTGGTCAGTCTGCCTGCTCTGTTCCCTACTCTGTCTCTGGTGAATCCTCTTACCTCCGCACCTCACACCTTTGGCCTGTACCCCAGTTCTTATATGCATAAATAAATAAATCTTAAAAAAAATAAAAATAAAAATAAAAATAAAACCATATGTAACTGTATTAGAGAGTCTGCTTTTTAACACTTTGGACACAGGGGGAGTCTCAGCCCATCTCACACTGGCCTCCTACCCACTAACATTCTTCTCTTCCTCCTGCAGTATGTGTCCAGCTGCCGAGCAGTCACTCAGAGCGCACCAGAGCAAGGGGGCTTCCCGCCTCACCACCTCACCCACCACCACCGCCACCAGCGCCCCCCCCCACCACCGCCCCACCACGGCCACCCCCACCACTCCTCCACCAGGAGGCAGGGCTGCACGCCTCCCAGGTGACACCCTGCCTGTGCCCCTTGTTCTCCTGCCAGTGGGAAGGCCACCTGGAGGTGGTGGTACCCCACCTGCGCCAGATGCACAGGGTTGACATCCTTCAGGGAGCTGAGATAGTCTTCCTGGCCACGGACATGCACCTCCCCGCACCGGCCGACTGGATCATCATGCACTCCTGCCTCGGCCACCACTTTCTGCTGGTGCTAAGAAAACAGGAGCGGCACGAAGGGCACCCTCAGTTCTTTGCCACCATGATGCTCATTGGGACCCCCACCCAGGCAGACTGCTTCACCTATCGCCTGGAGCTCAACAGAAACCATCGTCGTCTCAAGTGGGAGGCCACCCCCCGGTCTGTCCTTGAGTGCGTGGACTCGGTGATCACTGACGGGGACTGCCTCGTCCTCAACACCTCGCTGGCCCAGCTCTTCTCTGACAACGGCAGCCTTGCCATCGGAATCGCCATCACCGCGACGGAGGTCTGCGCCTCGGAAGCGGAGCTGTGAAGCAAGCAGGGGCTGGACGCGCACACGGCTGCTCCCCGCCGAGAAACAAGAAACTCTGCTGGGCCGCTCGGGTCTCCGAAGGCCAAGACTCCAAACTCCTTTTTACTCTTCTCCCAACTTCCTTCCTGTCTTTTTTTTGTCTCAGGTACCTCGTGGTATTTAGTATTTGTTGGCCATGGACACTGTATTATGTCAACACCCTGTGAGTCAAGATCCCAGTGTGAAGTTTGTCCTGATTTTGGGATAGTTTTGCAGAACCTTTAAAATCAGAACGGTTATTTCCTGCGACTCGCATCTCCCTTCCTCGCTGCTTCCAAAAGGAGCAAAAGCCCCTGAGGCCCCGAAGTGGACTGTCGCAGTTGGGAGGGGACTCGCGGCCCCCACCTTTTTCTTCTTCCTCTTCTCAGTCTCTTGCAAAACAAGGTGACTCTGTGTGCGTGGACACAGCGGACAGCAAGTTGGGAAGGGGTCCTGGCCAGCTTGGAAATATATTTCAGACCAACCAGATACAACTCTGCCTCCTTCCTGGGTTCCTCAGGGCCAGAGCTAAAGCTGCTGGGACACGAGGAGACGGTGTCCTCTGCAGGGCAGGGCTCTGGGCTGGCGGCGTGCGGTGTCACACTGGTTCCTCGGGTTGAACCCAAGCTTGGGGGAAGTGGGCAGATGTTGAAGCCTCTTGGAGGGCTGCCTGTGAATCGTTTCCTGCTCGGGAATCAAAGTCCTCAAGTTTTTAGTGCTTTCTTGCAAACCTTTTTGTCCTCCATTGAGCATGTAGCAGAAAAAAAATGGGCACAGTGTGGACAACAGAGGCAACTGAAAAAACAAAGGAGAAAATTAATCTTCCACCTCTGAGAGGGTGTTATCTCCTCCGTGTTTTTATCAAGTTATGGCAATCCTGCCACCAGGCTGGAGCACTTCAGTATCCTGCAAAGAACCTGCTTTGCTCTATCAAGCTCCTAAGCCAGAACAGACTCGGCATCAAACTCAAAGAGCTCAGGGGCTGTGCCTGGGCCCTCTGACCGGGAGGCTTGGCCTGGTGCTCAGCACCTGGGATTCCTTTCCTTACTTTCTTAAAATACTCTGAGGGCCCCATTCAGCACACAAACATTATCCCTGGTAAAGTACAGACTCAGCACCCTTTTTGCAGTGTGAATGGAAAAGCCACGGAAAATCCATGTCACCCCTCTATATACTGCTTTCTCTTACTTGGCTGTCAAAATGATTCAAGATCTTCTTGTAGAAGTCTCTCAACTGTTCAAAAAAGGAAGCAGGTTTAGTCACCAATGTCTCTTCTGTCCAAAATTGAATGCTGTAAATCTTCCCAGCAGGACTCTTTCTCCTCTTCATGTTTTTAGTTGTTGTTGTTGTTTTTGGTTTGGTTTTGTTTGTTTATGCCCTGGTCACTCTCCAGTCGCTGCAGAAGTATGGCACCCAAACCCCACAGAACACTCACGAGAACTGAGCAGGCCTTTCACCAACAAGACATTCCTCTCTGTGTCCTGTTCCCTCACCTCAGTCATCTTGGCTGCATCCTGGCAGGTCTCCCAGTGAGTACTTAGTTTCAGGCAGGCTGCCCTGGCTGGCCATCAGCCATCTTTCTCCACCAAAAAAAAAAAAAGAAAGAAAAAGAAAAAAAAAAAAATGCTAAAACAAAATAACCCAGTGATCAATCTTCCAGCAGCCCATCCTGTCAACTCACAATCCCAGCACCTGGAGTGTGGTGCTAGTGGATAGGAGATTTAATAGGCAGCCCCCTCTAGTCACACAGTAATGGCTGAGACCTCCTGCCAAGGTTTCCTTCTGTTAAAGGCCCAAGGGGCAGTAAATATTTTGTCACTGACTGAAGCAAATGTCAGGTCTGAAGACCCCAGGAGAGCCTGTAACCTGCTTGTTGTTCCAGAACATCCCACCTGGCACCAGCTACCCTTTGCACCCAAGTGGACCACTGGGACCCAGCTATGGCTGGTTGGCCAGCGCTGAGAGAGGGTGGATCACTTAGCTCCTTACTTGACCCCCAGTCCGCTCCCAAAACTTCACACCTTCTGGTTGTCAGCCTGATATCTCCGGGAAAACCACAGATCCTCCCCAGGTTCCTGATGCTCAACCACTCTGAAAACATTTCTGTAGCATCACGGTATCGCAGGTAAACAAATAAAACCTCAATAAGAACAAAATTACTCTTCCCAGGGCCTGAGCAGGCATGCAAACATCACCTCTGCTTTCTTGGCGTGCCGGTTACCTGAGCTGAATGAACTGGGAATAATTTCAGGTTCTTATTACTGTATATAAGACTAATATGAAAGTGATCCCAGATGAGACATGGTATTTTTGGTTCCTAGACCTTTAGAATAAAAGAAAGAAATGTGTTGCTTTCTTCATCTATGGTGCTTCCCCACATGTGAAGAACTGAAGAAA